GATTGTACAGTTCATAAGCTATTGTGTTTTTTTTTTCTTTGTTAAATTTTGATTTGTGGAGCAATCAACTCAAACAAAATCAAGAATGAAGTTTTAAATTTGTGTAAATGTACCAAATTTGATTAAATTTAGCCCCCGAGATTCATATCAAAACATTGTGCTTTTTAAAACAAATGAGAATAAAATTTGTATACAATCCAGGGGTTTGATTCTGTCGGATTTACACTGGGGTTAATAAGTAGACAAGACCTGAGCAGTGATATGTGTTTCCTGGGCTTAAGTCAGGGCCGTGAGAGATTGCTGTTTGCATGATCGTGTTCAAATCACTCTAAAATAAAAACCATGATAGTTAGAACATTGATTGGTTTTGCAGCAAAAGCCAAAGCCTCTGCCTTCCACCTCATGTTGTTTGCTCATGATGACATCATTACGTTTTGGTATATGTGATGCTAAATGTGCTGAAAAGACACGGTGGCACTAGAGAGTCTTCAGAGAGTATCAGAGAAACACGGGTGAATCTCAAAAAAGAAATGTTATGCATAGTTCAAATAACTTAATTTTTTTGTGTCAATGTTTCTATATTTAGGAATATTTGGGATAAATGTTTTATGTGTTTATTTAGCAAAATATGATGAAAAAGGGCTTGAATTGATTGAAAGACTCAATTTCAGTGCTTGTATCCTTTATCATGGTTTATTGACTCACATAACTTTTTAGCTCAAGTTGTACAGAGTTTAAAGATATGAAGATTTTATTTGAAGATGCTCCGGGCAATGACATTACTGAAAATACCATTGTCTACATGCGCAGACTTGAAAGGATTAACCCCTACTACTTCTCCTTTACCCCCACAGAGTCATTTCTGCAGATGCAGCACACTACATGCGAGTGTTCCTCCAGCAGAGCAGCTCCAGTGCAGTTGATTATGAAGACTCTGTTGCTCCATTTCCTCTGAGGAACTAGTTAAGTCTGGAGATGATTTCCTGCCTGCAGTGAGCTTCTGAAGGCCCTTTGCTTTGATAAGTGACTCTGTGACCCCTGGCAAGCTGCTGTGTCAGAGACAGAAAGCATGCACATGTGTGTGTGTATCAGTTTGTACATACTGCACACACGTCTAGGCTTGAGCGTGCACTGTGTGCGTCGATGTTGCTGCTGACACCAGATTTGCGTTACCAAAGCAGCAGCTGTGGCAAGAGAGTTGGAGCCTGTAAAAGTTTAATGTTTGTTTTCTGCACACGTCACTTGTCGACCTTCTTGGTTACCATGGCCTCCAGCGACAGGCTGCTCAGAGGCCTCCAGACCAGGAGATGAAAGAGGGCTGAACTGTAACTGCATCTAGGTAATCTGTTTGACCTCGAGTTAAAGATGACAAACCAGAGGTTGCTGGTTCAATTTCCAGCAGTGTATTCCAGCTGTATGTTGGCAGTTTATGACCAGATCAATGGGGCCTGTTGAGTGAAGGTAGTAACTGCTCCAGGTGTGCTGCACTGCCTCTGACCCTGCCTCCGTACACAGGCTTTATATCTGCATGTCAGGGGGGAAGACAACGTATAAAGATACAGTGAGCGGTGCCAAGGCAGTGTGCATGCTGGGAAATGAAAATGATCTGTTGTTGTTCTCTGTTTGAGATAAAGTGATGGAACTACACAAAAACTTCCCTCCATCCTCTGAGCCCAGACAGAACGATCTACTCATCCAGTCCAACTCCTGTGACAACAAGCCAACAGTGCAGGGGACCTGTCTGCAGCAAAGTATCCGCAGCAGTCACCCTGGCAACTGCATGCACGGCTGAGGAGTGATATTGTGTCTCCACACTGCGATGAGCAGAAAGAGTGAAAAGAGAAGGGGGGGGGGGATCCTGGTTTCATGGTTTGCAGGGGGAGCTAGCGTTACATGAGAGTGAATCGGAGTGATGACATTGTTCCTAAACAACACCTGAGTGCACCTATATGCAAGTGCCTGTGTGGAGGAAGGGCCCCATTCACCTGTCAGGAGCCACTGTGGATGGAGCATTTGGACAAAGGGACAAACGGGCAGAGATAAAACCCTATCCAGGGCAGAGGCCGCTCCGCTGTTAACACTTTGATGTGTGTTATAGGTCTCAGGTTTCTTGATTGTTTCAGAGGAAATTAGAGATTGATTCTGGATCATCCAGGGTTCTGGGTTTCAGTGTCAGTGGAGGCACGGGGGATGCTGGATCCTGGATAAACTACACTGTGATAACTGAGGCAACGAGGTGGACATGGATTCAGGAGTTTCCTCTGGTGCTCCCCTGATGACTGTTTGAATTTCTGAGAATGCGACCTGCCTCAGGTCTGGCTGAGAGGAGGAATTTCCTGTGGTAAGGTACAAAAAACATTAGCTTCGAGGTTTTTATTTTCTACATTGTTTGTTGAGGTCAACGTGTATGAATGTTTCTATAGTTTTGCTGCTACTGAGGGATTTCTGAAGGATCCATCACTACAAAGAGTCAATGGAGAAGAAATATCCAGCTATTGCAGGAAGAGAAAAAGGTAATCATCAAAATAGTTTTACAAAGAGCTACTTTTCCTGGCACTGTGAAATTGTACACCCTGCGTGAAGACATGAACATCTTTACCTGAGTTCCAGTTACTTTTGGTCATATGGCATGTCATCATTTCAAAGGGGGGGACACTGTCTCGCACAGACTGGAGGATTCCTCAGAGTGCAGACCTGCCAGGACTTGCTCCTTTCTGTGAAAAATGCTCCAACTCGCTCTGCGTGTGCACATGCCTCCGAACACTTGTACGCTGATGTAATCCTAATACTTTTCCCTGGGTTGTGTCTTGACGCTGCTGCCTGCAGCATCGTCCTGCTCTGATCTGATCTGATCTGATCTGCTTGCTGTTTGTCTGACCCCATGTGCACAGCAGACAAAAATCAGATGCAGAAGTTTAATCACTTATAGCTGCAGGCTGATTGGCTGACAGATGAGAACAGAATGATAATGAAGCACATCAGTTTTGCTTCTCACGTTGTAATAAATCAAACGTTTTTTAAGCTTGAGTGAAGCACAATCATTTTGTTACTTTGTAGACATATTTATTACTCACTGACTTAGACCTTTGTTTTTCTGGCAACTGATGAAGGTGTAGAAATACTTTACTCTGGCACACAAGTGTTGCCACTCTGAAGCTCTTCTGCAGATCTGTTATTTGAGCACTGCAGATGTAATTTGAGGCACCTGATGTTTATGTGAAATAGTAAAGAAGTGTGCAGAGACCCTACAGTGCACCTTTGTGTTTAGGGCCAGGTCCTGGTCGCTATGGGCTTCCTCCAACCATTGGATTTATTGGCCATGACTTCACCAAACCAACCAGCCCTGCCTATTCTTTCCATGGCAAGATGAGCGACAACAGTAAGACACATTTTATTTCTTACTTTGAGATTTGGTAGAAACTTCATTATTTATTATTATTATTATTAAGTGGTTTGTTACTATCATGGTATGAATGAACTTCAGTGTCAAAGCTGCTCATAACCACGAGCTAATCGAGAATAAATGAGTTGGATAATTTAACTTCTTTTCGGGATAATTACACTGAATCACATAAAGTCAGTGTTATCTCCATGGTGGTGCAATATTAAGCTATATCCAGTAGATGGAGACAACATGTCTTTATTCACCAAGCAAGTCTAATGTGAAGCCATTGCATGATCAAACCAAACACATTACATTGAGTTCATAATAAATATGTACATTCCCTGCAGTGTATTGTGTTGACTCCAGTCCGGGGCCTCGTTACCATATTGATGCAAAAATCACTCGCTTTGGTAAAGATGGCACACCCTCATACTCCATGTTGGGCAGAATGAAAGAACAGAGTAAGTTTCTGCACCTGCAATATGGAAAAAATATTTTTCAGTGCTTTCTTTCCTTTATAGACTATGATATTTTAAAATGAATGTTACCCTACAACCTTATTCATAGCTGTTACAATTGACCTCCAACCGAAAAACACTTGTTTTTGACACCTGTTGAGATTCTGTCAGCTGCTTCAGCTTAAACTCTGATCCTGAAACTCCCATATGGTTCTGACTTGACGGTTTATTTTATTCAACTGTTCTCTCTTCATTAGAGGAGCTATTGCGAACACCAGGACCAGGGGCATACAGTCCTGAGAAAGCTGCGCCATGCAACGTCCAGCGTCGACCACCGTCCTACACAATGGGCTCACGCACACTCTACCGCAGCGTCGACTCAGTACCTGCTCCTAACAAGTACTGCCTCCCTCCACTCATGGGCCCTCAAGTCCCAAACAAGCCAGCCAGTGCGAGCTACACACTGTTGGGTACTTATAGCACAGGAGGACCATCTGTGGATTTAGCCAAGACGCCCGGGCCTTGCAGGTACAACATCACAGACCCAGGTGTGTATTTACACCGACAGCCTGCGTATTCCATGCTGGGGCGACACAGCTTACCCAGAGATGCCACCGAGAAGCCTGGTCCTGGATCTTACAATCCAGAGAAAGTGACGGTACACAAGGCCCGGGCGCCTGCCTTCTCTCTGGGCATCAGACACTCAGAATTTGTCACCCCACTGGTTGTCAACATTTCTGACTGAACATCAATCACTCAGAGAGAATGACAGAAACAACATTATGTAATGGAAGGAAAATATGCTCGAGCAACACATGTAAAGAAAGTACATTTTATTTTGTTCTTACAGCAACAAAGTGTATTTTGAATCAATCCTGACTCAGTGTCAAAGTGTACAATACCTAGAAATTAAATATATACATACATAATACAAACATAAAGAACACAAACGTTCAAACACCATGTGTTAACCATGGGCTTAGGAAAAAAGAAACCCTATGTCTGTATGACCACTCAGTAAATAAATCAATCTTATCAAAATGACCTCATTTAAAAACATTAAAAAAATGTACAGTTGACAGACAAACATTCTCCATATCATTAATAATCATACACAGCAGAATCAAGATATTTGCCTCTCATAACCTCTAAAAATTGAGGGACTTAGAAAGAAAAACAACAACACAACTAAGGGTTTGCTACACAATACATTTAAAACAAATGTAGAGATGTATGCAGGAGCGATGTACGGTCCAAAGACGATACTAATAAGCAGAGATGATAGCAGGTATTTTACAGATGCTTCCTGTTCACTCCTTTGGGAGAGGCCTTCTGAACAGCAGTATGTGGGGCTCTGGAGAGTAAAAGCAGAGGATCAGTGTATCAGTATCATCTGTGGTAAAGGTGGTTACACCATAAACTATGTATGTTGCCAAACACAGCTGTGGTCTGAGTGTTCACAGTCCAATGGCACATGCAAGCAGCTATTTAAGCAACACTATGCAATTTTTTTTCTTAACCTTAAAATTGCAGCTTCAAAATTAGTTTAATGGTCCTGTGACTTAAAATGGGGAGAATGGTGCCTGTTCTTGCTATATGTGACTTTTGTGAGACTAATAGTCGCAGCTTAAACTGCCAGATTCAGGTCCAGCAGGTTGAAGAGTAATGCTGAACTGTAGATCAGTTAAAAAGACGTTGACGTCGTTCAAAACCAATGATTAGCTCTGATACCCAGAGAGAAAGACTTTTAAATGTCAGATATTCTAAACAGTTTTGTGAATTTGTAACAGCAGCAACTCTTCTGGTTCAGGGAAATTGGGGATCGTGGACAATATCCACCCTTCTGTCGTGTTTCAGTTAAGACTTCATTTTTTCTAGACATGAAAACCGCTGAATGGGCTGGATGCAGACCCCAACAGACACGTGCAATGGGGCTGTTGCTCTGTAAAGTTGCATACTGTTGCTTTAAAGTTGTAATAGTTCTTATATATATATATATATATATTTCATGCTTATCTCAAAGCTATACTCAGGCTTTTATAAAAAGGTCTTACTGATTATTATAATCGTTCATCTTACTGATCATTACAATAATTCATCTTGTGAGAATGTAACTCAGGAAACACAATTGATTTGAAGAACACAGACTGCTGCAGCAATATATTAACCTTAGGATATTTGAGGAAAACGTATGTCTAAAAATAATGTCATGAAGAATCCAGGTCCAGGCACTCTAAGTGGTTTATAAAATGGGAAAGGCCTTTATTTCAATGGGCTTGAAGCATTAAAATACACCATGGCATATCAGCTTATGCCTTCATCAGGTTGTTCTGACACTCAGAGACTGAAAGAGCTACTAAGGAACCTGCATGTGTGTGTAAATAAATATTAATGTCGGTTGGATATGTTCTTAAATTATCCAGGCTTGTAGTTTTATATTTATACAGTTAAAATATATTTTGTATAGTGTGTCGGCTATATTTAATTATATTGTGTTTTGGGTGGTATTTTGCAGCTTGTTGTTTGCCACAGTTCAGGATGCCGTACTGCAGTTCAATGCACATGCGTGTTATTGTAATTGACTGCAGGAAAATCATTGTGTGTGCAAAGTCTGAGGACTAGATGGAAATGAGTTTTTGACCGTGATGGACATGTAACGAAACTATATGCATCACCAATTCAGTAAATAGCCAAGATAGAGGTTTGTCTGTAACCTATTGCTGGAACTGGAAAATAAACCCTTTCAAGTTGTAAGTGCCTCCTTTAAGTGTGTTGACATTAGGTTTCACAACATGGCAAACGTATATATGTTGGACAGGGGTCAGACTTGATAAACACTCTGCAGGCTCACATTAAGTGGCTTTATGCAACGTGGAGGTAAAAGACTGCCCCTACAGAAACAAGAGTAATTGTTTGCAGTCTTCATGCCATTATTTTTGGACACAAGTTTCCTCAAAATTCTTGACATGTATTCCCTACCATGAGCACCAGTAGTGCTTCTGGTACCTCATTCTAATACATTAATTTTGTTTGAAATTTCTAAATAATCTTGGCTTGCTACTCTGACTGTGGATGTTTTACGATTTCTCTTACACATGCTAAATCTTTGCCTTGAACTGAGGGAATGATTCCAGCTGTCAATCTCTCAGTGCCTTGTGAGAATTGTGTCTTATAAAAATGTGAGCCTGTCCTTTGGGTTCCATGTGAGACTCACCTGGCTTGTGGATCATGTAGTGAATCCAGCCCTGGCTCTGTTGCACCCCCAGTCCCCTCCACTCCTCCTCGGTCATCAGGTGGGAGGAGGGCACCAGTTTAGACAGCTGCTTCGGGAGCACGACATGCCTGTGAGAGGAAGAGTAGCAGAACTGTGAGGAAGGAGCCAGAAAACAGCTCGGACTTACAGGAGGAGGTGAAGGAAACAACTCAACACCAATCACAGAAGAATCAAATACAACGTGAACACTCGACAACTCAGTTTACATCATCAGCAACGTGAGGGTTAGCTTGTTCCTCACATTTCACCTGCGGCAGCTACCTAACGTTAGCATGACGACTTTACGACACTTGTATGCAATAAGTGCAGCATGGTGTCGTTGTTTTTAAAAAGATTATAAACAAGACAACAATCTTAAACATTTATATCAAAGTAAACACACAGGGGCGGGCGGGGGGAGGGGGGAGTTGCCAACGGGCGTTAACGTTGTGTTTAGCCACGGAGCTAACCTCGTCCCACTGAAGCGAGCTAACTATCCTCTCGACTCAAAAATAACGGACATTTGAAAACGCTCGCACGCGTCGTGAGCCGCACCTGTACTCGAACTCCTCGTCGGTGTACTTGTCAGAGTAGTAAATCTGTTTCTTCGACATGTTCGCTGTAAAGTCCACGGACGTGTCGGTCGTGTCGCAGAAAGTCCGTCACTGCTGCTGGAGATCAGGAAACAAGCTTCTGTCGTCTGCCGCTGTTTTCTGCCCGCGATTCAAACCTCAACGGCTCCGCGCTCTCCTCTGATTGGGCAACACAGGAGGCCGCCCCCTCTACACAGATCGTCTGTTTCGTGGAAGACGCGCTTCTCGGTTGCGGAGAGAGGAGGACACGAGGTAGCGCGATTTTGGAACAGTGGGTGCATTTGTTAGAGCTCATTTAAAAACGCGTACATTTCGCCAATAGTTTTAAAATTACGTTTTAAGCGACACGGGTAAAATAAGGTGTAGGTGTTAAATATACCTGGTGTATTTAAAAAGGTTTCTACGGTGGCTGAGAGAGATTAAGAAATTAAGAAAACGCATGAAAATAGAAAAAAACAAGTGCACAAAGTCAGTTGTAGTTCAAAGCTGTGAGAAGTTCCATCACTGGACCTCAGCCAGGTTCATCACTTATCCGGGTCCCCTGGAAACATGGACTGTGTCCTTTTCGCAATTTGCAGCTCGTTTCTGTATTTGCATATCTTGAGACTTTTTGCAGCGCATGTGTCGAATTGATGAAATAGTTTTTTTCTGTTTTCTTCATTTGGACGTGTTTTTTCTAATATGTACTGCGTTGAGCTCTCTCGGCCACCGTTCTTTCGCAGGAACTTTTTCTGAAACGGACAAACAGGCGCAGTGGGAGCTCTGCATCTCTCCACTCTCTGCGCCACGCTGTGACGCTCCCTGCTCTTCACACGTGCGCCTCCATGATTCTCCGCAGTGTGAAAATCAACCTGTTTCCATCTCGATGCGTCGGAAGCTGAAGTTCACTGAAGCGATCTCCTCCATGTTCCTTCACAGGAGGCGGTGAACACAGCGGCTGAGCTGTGCACGTCACACGCACACATGGATCAAGCACAGCAGGTGAACTCTGCAGGTAACTGACGGTATAACTCCCCACGTTTCCTTTCAATCATAAATATGTATAAATAGTACGAAGGGAAAATAAATAAATAAATGTTTGTCCTTTATAGTCTAACAATACACACAGAATATGATCATTTGTTTGTATAAATCATCAAACATCTTCAAATCTTCACTTGAATCGTATATTTGCAATAATCTGTCAATAATTCAGGTCTAGGAAAAAAATAACAATTGCAAATGTGTCTAATAAGAAGGACAAAACGATTTAATGAAAAACAGAAATACCTTTTGTCATCACAAACTCACACAGGTTTGTTTCTCTATACTTCTGGCAAATCAGATTATATGTTATAAGGTTAATGATCCCTTCAAAAGACAATACAAAGAAACAATATTTAGAAATAATTATAATCAACAACTGTATCTGAATTTACAGTCCAGACAGTCACACATTTTCTATTCTTTAAGCTCTGTGCTTCAGCATACTCAATTAAAATGGATCATATACAGTCATTTACTTACTATTTCATTTGAGTAAGTTTACAGCAATATAAATAACTATGTGGGTTCAAAGATAACTGGAAAGACACATTTTCTTTCTTTTAAAAAAAAAAAGCCTTTGCAGTCAATGACCACCTGAAGTTTTCAACCCATAATGCATCAGACGGTTTGAATTTTCCCTCATACATTCAGCCATCAGCTCTGCTTGTCATGGGGTCACTTTGCCTTGAGTCTGATCTCCAGCAGGTGCAATGCCATTCAAACAGATTGAGGTCCTGGGGCAATGTGGAAGGTTCAAATCCCAGTAATGAGAGAAGTGGTTCTTTTTGTCATTAAAAAATATTTCTTGAAAAGACATGATCACAGAATCGACCACATAGTTCAACATGAAAGAATTTATCCCTAAAGATAAAAATAAATTATTATTATTTAGATTTTACACCGATTTCCATTAACTCAATAATATCCTTTTCTTGACATTTCATCATTACTGTTGTGACTTTATATGCAATCTATGGTTGTGACTCAGTGCTACATAGTGATCTCTTTCTATATTTTCTCTAAGCTTAACTAGCACTACTCTTCTCATTCAATGATTTGTAAGTACAACTCTCTGTTTACATTTTAACCAGACACTATAGTTCAGGGTTTGTGTCCTGCAGCTAACTGTGCTGATGTTGTTCTAAGTTGTAATCGCTGTAACAGCTGCTAATGAGTGGTGGTGTATTCACAGTGTGGTTTGTTCCACTTGTAAATGCAAAGCACCAAAGTCAGGAGGTGAATACGTTAAATCTTCACATACAGAGAAACACTTTATAGTTGTGTCATTTAAAGGGCTCTGTAGGTGCAATTAAATAAGTTGCTTTTGTATCTATTTCTTAAAAATACTCCATTTAATTAGGTTTGAGTGTACAATTTGTATATTTGTTTTATTTTTGCATGTGTTGTCAGTGCAGTTATTTGTCAGGTAAATAAGGACAGAAAGTACAGATGAAGGCCAGCTTCTCTTGCATCTGTCAACATGTATTGATTAAATCTGGTTTATCAGTAACTTCTTATACTGTTTCAAAAAACAAACGAGAAGTGATTGGCTGTATGGAGGAAGGTGGGATGGCAGTGGAGGTGGTGTCAAAGGGATTCTGATGGTGGTTTTGCTCGGTTGCGTCATTTCTTTCTTATTATATTTCATTATTATATTCAACCACAGCAACAGTTGTTTTGTATTGTGATCGTAGGTTTATTCAAATAGTTTATCTCTGACAAAGGCCATTGGACATTAACTGGGTTGGACATATAGGTAAGCTTTGTTTCTCTGATCTACTCCTGAACTCTAGTGCACAATCTGTACATATTGTTTTGAACATTTTTATTTGTTCTCTCTCACAAAAGAAAACAAGACGTTACTCTCCAGACTGATTATCGAACTTAACAAATTGTAATAACTTGCTTGATTGGATTTACACTGATTGACAGGAACATAATGAGCTTTTCCTTGTCTGTGTGGGTTGAATTATTTTGTTAATACATTCCCCCTCATTTGTGAAACTAATGACCCTGCCTATTCAGTTATTTCACAATCATTCTTGACGGTGTTTGAATCCAAGTATATTTTTTCTCTTCATTTAATATCAGTTGTCACTTTTTAAATTTTCCAAACAGCCTGAAATACCTGTGTGGTCATCATGGTTTATTCCTGATCTTTGCGTTCTTTCTCAACATCTCATTCTCACTCTTGCCCTGTGTGTGTGAAAATGACCACCAAAAAAAAAAAGAGAAAAGTTGTGCAGCGTGAATCCCTCCTTAAACATGTGCTTCACACTCCAAATCTTGTCCATTGAGGCATACCTTACATTACCTTTGTGTGATGAAATGGGAAAATACAAGTGTGACATGGATAGAAAAAGACATGAGGGAGGCTGCAAGTGAGGACCGTGCTGAGACGGCTGACTGCTCTCAGGGGAAAGAGTATGGGAGAGAAGTAGGGAAGAGAATTCAGACAGATGGAGGAGGGTGGATTTTTCCAGACGTAGTCGCTCATGAAGCTTCATTGTTTCCTTTGTTAAGTGTTTGTGTATTATCAAGACAAATGGAATCACACTCACATCGACTCTCACAAGAATCACTTAAAATGATTGGATTACATTTGCCTGTATTGATTAACTCTCAATTATTCTCTTAATATTTCTATATTTGAATTTGTCAGTGGGACAATAACCCTACACCTGAAGAGAAATATTTTTGTTTGTGCAATTATGTGTTTATCATTTTATTAACCCAATCAGTGAAAACTAATGTAACCTTAAATGTAACCTCATCATTTCTGCTTTCTTTTATTTGCTCGGGTTATATATTGACAGGTTTCTTCATTTGTGTGTGAGTGAGTGTGAGTGCAACAGAAGGGTGGATCAGGCAGATGTGTTTTAGCTAATAGAGTCTGAGAGCAGCTGGGCAGGGCAGGGCTAATAGACCAAATGACATCATCTAGAGAGCGAGAGAGAGAGAGAGACACTGGGAGTATAAGAGTGAGCGTGCCTGAGGCAGTGAAAGGAAGCAGGCCAGCACTGATAGAGGAGAGAGCGGCATGAGAGTGGGACAGTCTGTGTGCGTGAACGGGAGAGGACCAGACGTTCGTTTGACTTTGAAAGGGATATAGGCCTCTGTCCGGCAGATTTTTTCCTTTAGTTGTCCCCTCTCTTCTGTCACACCCTCCCCTCTCCCCTCTCCCCCCTTCATTCTCTTGACAGTTATCCCCCCTCTCAGCTCCTGCTTCAGGCGGCTCCTCCGGGCATGCTCCTTAAGCCAAAGTATGACCGCTTTCGCAACGAGTCTGTGACCTCTTCTGACGACCTGATGCAGAGCCTAGCCATGAGCGGCAAAGTCGTGGCCACGCCGGTAGTCCGCTCCTCCACCCCGAGCCTTCCTCTGCCTCCCCTGCCTACTCTGGATCCCAGTGCCAGGACCTCCTCTGCTGGGGCTACAGCCCTGGCTGACTCCCCTTGCCTGGATGGGGAGCAGGATGCCACCACAACCTTCTGCATGCTCATCCCGAAGATGCCCCAGTGGAAGTTCTCCAACTCCCTGCTCAGCCGGAGCCCGTCCAACTCTAGCTCAAGCTCCAGCTCTAGCAAGGACTCGGGCAAGGCGGCAGCAGCTCCTTCCCAGGCCTCTGTCTCCCCTTCCTCATCATCGCACAGGCACAGCGGCGCGACCTCGGCCACTGGCCCAGTGGCCAGTCTTGCGGCAGTGCTTAACTCCTGTGACCCTGTGTGTGTCACCCCCTGTTCCTTACAGGCCATCCGGGGGCAGAGAGCAGTCACGGCAGCACACTCTGCCAGTCCAGGGGGTCAAGGATTTGGGGCTACAGAGGCCATGGCGAGTCCTGGTGTTTCTGGCAGCTCCAGGTCAGGAATGAACCGCAGGACGAGGGTGGAAGGGATGTGGCTAGGGGGAGAAGACTTCAACCAGAAGGGCAGCTTCATCCACAAACCCTCCCAGGGCTGGTTGCACCCTGACAAGAAGATTGCAGGACCAGGAGCTTCTTACATCGTCAGGGTGAGTCACTGGCCATCTTATTAATGCATGCAGTATATGTATTGTCAATTAAGTTAAACATCCAACTAATTGTGTCCTTTTGCATCAGAAGAAAGAAGGAGGAAAACTTTTCTTTTGCAGATGCTCATTAAC